GGTAAAGTTGGAGATGTTGTCAAAAATATACAATCAAAACATTGAATGAGTTTACCGTTATCCGTTTCTGCGAAGGACAATTCCAAACTGACGTTTCTTTTGCTGCTTGGGATATATAACTTGGATTCAGTGAGTGACAAAAATCACGAAAACCTTTACCTTTACGTTTAGTTTAGAGTTATCTCCCTTTGTCGGGTACTCGCGTCCTGGAATTTGGACTCGAGTCCTGCCGTACCCGACCCGTTGCCGGGTACTCTAAAATACTCGACTACCCGTCAGAGCCCTAGTCCAGAAGTACCTATATACCGAATAACGACCAAACTATTTCTAAAACTCAAAGATTTCAAAACGATTTTTCACCTACTAGTATTTGTTTTCTAAGAACGTAAATTCAGCTTTTCGCAAATGGCCATTAGGCGATACATGGAAATCATCACTCGAAAACCGAAATATTTGTTTCATCACAATGAACATTTATTAGTAGTACTTTTGGTCATTCTAAAATAGAAATATTGTCAACGGTAAACCTAAAATGACATAACCTTCCATTTTGGGAGTAAATAAAATAAAATGATACTCTGCTCCATTTCTGATAAAATTCTGACACATGTCGAGGAGGACTACGTCAGCCATGTTGAAATATAAAGGCATTTTCTTCCAAAATGTAACGTTCTTCTCTATAACTGCCGGACTGAGGGAGCTAAAGTTTTGTATTTATGTGTCACCTGCTATAACATTTTGTTCAGGTTGTTAAATGTCGGTGAACATTTTCAGGCATGAATATAAAATATATGTGAATATTTGATCTTACATTCCGTGCTGTATAACAAAGTGGAGCACGACCCATGTCTGGACACATTCTACACTAGTCGACACTCAGAAAAGCAAAAACATTTACAGCAATGATTCATTGTAACACAGAAAGCGTGCAACTACGCCTCTTATATCTTACAGGATTCTCAGAATAATACACAAAGTACAGTTCCTTCATACAACAATACCACAGTCAGTCATGCGTTAGTGAGTGTGTGTGGGGTGTGTGTGGGGGTGGGTTTTTTTGTTCTGACTCCACTTTAGACAGTATTCCTGTTTACCCCGGCGTGTCCGGTGAAACCACAACCATGATGCTAACAAACCTCGAGGTATAATCAGGTCGAATCGGGATTCAAACCCACGATCATAAGATTCTGGCTTGCCCAAGGGACGCAACTCAGCACAGCGAATTGCGGCGCTTTACACGACTGGGCCTCCCGTGCCCCCTTTTCGATACGGAGACGTTGAACAATATTACAATTTACACGGAAACAATTTTAAGTACATTAGGCAGCTTCTGCTGAGGTTAAAAAATATTCAACTTTCGTGAAACCCGAATCAGTATTGCCTTTCATCGGTATATTCTGATTTTTTCACATTTCTTAAATTAATTTCAGGTCGCATGGCATGGTTTTGCTTGGTTTGGTGTTTAACTCTGCTCTCAGCAATATTCCAGCTATATGGCGGCGGTCTGTAAAAAGTAAAAATGGAATCCGGGCCAGACAATACAGTGATCAACAGCATGAACATCGATCTAAGCAACTGTGATACGATAACATGTGTCAACAAAGTCAGCGAGCCTAACCACCCAATCCCGTTAGTCGCCTCTTATAACAAGCATGGGTTGCTGAAGACCAGATCTTACCCGGATCTTCACGGGTTTGCATGGCATGAACAAATATAGACAAGAAAACATTTAATACAGACTGTTTTTCTCATTAAATGTCAGATTTTCAAATGACCAGAAATTCGATACAGTTCAATTTGAAAGCACATATATGACATGAAATCTAACCATGTGAGTATTGTAAAATCTGAAAATCACACTTGAATTCATATGTGCTATATATATATATATATATATAGACGGGTAAAGATAATTAGAATGTCCTCCATATTGCCACAAAAGAAAGAGCGTGGTTTGAAGCACCTCTTAGCAATATTCCAGCAATTTTCGGGAATACCATGCCAGTAATGAATTTCACCCATTATTCCAGTCATTATGTCCATATAATATGTTACTGTTTTATTATGCTGTTACTATTAAGTCATTCCTGTTACTTGGATATGATTCAGTCGCCTATTCAACATGAAAGGTGTTCCTTGTCATAACAGAAGAGGGAAGTTTTTGGCTCATACTATTTTAACACACTTATTCTACTTGTTTGTTGAAGGGAAGGACATAGTATGATAAAGGGCGCATCATGACGCTCGTTATGAAGGAATAAACGCGGTCCAAATTAAATAAGAGAATGGGAATAACACAAGAGGCACACTTGAAGCTTATGCAAAGTGATTCACCTCACCTGGAGGACCTTTCCACCAAACTTATATGCATCATCACTCCAAACCCAACTCGTCATTGGAAAGACAAGCACAAAAGACTTGCTATCTGAACCAGGGGAATCATGGGTAAAAGCAACGTTCGAAATGCCCGCCTGCCCGACCGCCGGGGACGGGTTATTTTCAACATGGACTTACACATTCTCAAATCCACCTGCCCGACGGTCGGGTTAAAATTTAGACATGTATATAACTATATTCATAATATTTCAGGATAAATAATTATTAATTCACTCGTAAAAATAGAGTAAATAAGTAAATTAGTATTTTGGGCGGGCAGGTAAGTTTTGGTCAGGGCTGGCAAGTGGTCTGGCTGGCTGAAATTTTTGGGAGTTTCATACCCTGGTAAAAGGGGAGTTTACTTAAAACATTTTAGTGCGGTAAAACGTGGGACGAATTTAACATAAGAAATTAAGTTTGTTCGCTATACTTAACATATAAACCGTACAAATATTACTGGCGTTATCGGTATGTAAGCGGATGCCTTGCCTGACGCAGTTCAGATGACAAGCTCACAGTCTTCAAACGGCTTTCACGCATTGTGTCTATGCGTAGAAGCGAACCCAGACAGACAGACCGATATTTTATTAAAGTCTCACCTCGTATTTACAATATAAAACAATAGACAAGTCAATAAAACACAATATCCTTTACGAGCCACCCATTAAGGGCTACGAGAGACTATGTGTACAGTGTAAAAAATACAGATGAATTAATAAATGGTACTAAAAAGCAATAATGGTTAAAAATGCACTACACAGGGCTTCGGGTAGCAACGGGTTTAACCACAAAGCTAAACTAACCGCCCCTTAGCCTAAGGACCACTGCTTGCAAAAGAGAATTTATAGATATTATACGTGCGCCTCAGTACCTAACATTTCGGATTTTTTTAAATGTTGTACATATACACTACACGCCAAAAGAAACGTTACCCTGCTACCTTTATGAATTACTGAAAAACTATCAAAGATATGTTAGAAGGTATTAGTTTACAAGAAAGCTTAACAACACAGCTTTATGCAAATCACGAAAAAACATTCCCAAATGCATTCATAATTGAGTGAAATGCATTCTTTTCGGAAGAGTTAGATTGTCCTATTTTCGTTCATGCCGAAATATACCAACAACAGTGATTTAGATGTCCAAAAGAAAGGTTGAAATATAATTCTGCTTTGAGACCAAGATAAACCTTTTAAAGACACCATTTTTCAACTATTAAAACAAGAAATAACTGTTGTAGAGTGTGTAAAATTGTAAACTAATCATTCCTATGATTCCTTTCTTTTAAAACATTTTCTGCTGATTTGCATCAGTGAAAACAAGTAAAACGTGTCTTTGGTATCGTGAAAAAGTGTTTAGGAACATCTAAAAATATCTTACATTTTCACATTTTCTGTGTACACATAGCAATATCAATCGCCAAAACGCAGCAATATTCAAGCAGTATTTGCATCCATTTTATATGTGGAATGAGTCTATGGGGCACAAAGAGAGCCTAGAATACATGATATGTTACACAAGTACGAGAAATATGCCACGATTAACAGCTGAAGAGAGAGAAAGAGCCATTGGGATGGTGCAGATGGGGCCCGACGTACAATGCTGTTGCCAACGCCCTCGGATGCCACCCCTTCACGGTTATAAGACTTATTCAGGGCTTCAGACAGACTGGAGTCACCGTAAACAGACCAAGAAATGGACGTCCACGCATCACAACGCCAGCTGAAGATAGGTACCTCCGTCACTAAAGAAGGGGGTAACGTTTCTTTTGTCCTTTAGTGTATATTAATAGGTGCATATCTACAACAGTTAGATCTGTACAGACATATTTCTACAACAAACTAGTGATTAACATATTAACACGGAGTCACGCCGCGCAATCCATTCAGTCGGTTCCTGCCGCAAGCAATGCAATGTAAGGGGCTAGTTTTTTCCTGGTTTTCGTAGGTGGGCGGATAAAAAGTCCTCGGAAAAAAAGTACCGGAAAAAAGTCCTAAATTTGCCTAGGAAAAAAAGTAATCCGGAAAAAAGTCCTATTTTGAAAAAGGAATTTTTGACCAAAGAATAAAATGTATTTTTTAGTTTTTCGTAGTTCTTCATGGCTATTTTTTACTTTCATGTATTGTATATTCATAAAACAAATGTAAAATAGACAGATCCTATATACCTTACAGAGGTTTTCAGCGTAATTCCTACTTCAGAATATGGATGAATATTAATGTCTACTGACTCGTATTCATTCTAATGTTTACTGCCACGCCACGCCATACAGCATAGGTCTGGAATGTCATTCCACACGTGGTGGAAACATAGGGGACACCCTATTATTAACAGGCCGCCGCCATATAGCTAGAATATGGCTGAGAGCGGCAGTGAACAACAAACAAGCAAAATGTTATTATTCATGGCCCACCTGGACACTCAGCGTATGACAGCTAGACCAAGATGGTGGTAGCCTTTTTTCTTACAATCGGTTTACTGTAATTGTGACAACATATTTCACCATATTTCATTTTTCTCTCGATAACACCAATATATGGTTTCTTCGAAATGAAGCAAGTCTATGGGAAACCTAAACCAGATTGTTAAACCGAAACCGGTTTTCACCGCTAGGTGGCGTGCGCTCAACGGGATTTCCCCGTTTGACAAGTTCGGTTGCACAATCAACGTAGGAAGAAACAACGTCAGCTGAGGCAGAGGAAGAGAATCCTACACACTTCACTGACTTGATGATGTAAATATTCCCCTTGAATTTACTTTTTTTGGTCACAAAATAAGCGATCGGGCTATAATTTAATGAGATCAGAGGGAGGACACCAGTAAAAGGCAACGACCACATGTTCAATTTAGATCGCTTAAATTGTGTACTGTTAGAATGGTACACAACCCACATTAGTAAACTGGGTAATGAAAATGACTAAAATCTCGTAACATGGGTGTTTTGTTGGCGAAGAACTATCTTCGTTTAAACTAGCACAGTAGCCAAGAGTAAAAGGCGTATGACTTAAAAGTAAGAAACCAGTCATATTCATATTGTTTCATAACATGGCACCTACACGGCAGTGTTGAGAGTAGACAGCCTTCAATCGTAAATAAAGAGGATTGATAACATTATAGATCGATAGATGTTTTGTATAAATAAACCACCAACAAAAACTAAAAGGGAAATCAATGTCACAAAAACATGTAAATATAGAGTAGATCTACTTGAATATTGATATCCTACGAGTATGATTATCCATGTCAGTGTGGTATTTTTGTTTTATTGCAGGTATCTCTTTTGAGGTGTAGCTACCTGGCAGAAGAGAAAGTTTCAAACATGGGAAAATTCTCCTTCAAAGAACGACAACAAAGAGGGGAAGATTTCATTCGGTTTCTCAAAACTGAAAACATAACAATTCATGGCATGCACAAGAAAGAGGTTCGCAACATGTACAACACGCGATACAAAAACTACCTGTCCCAGTTAGCACCAGGAGAGCATATACCAAGCTTCAGCAGTATTTTACAACCATTATATATCACAAAAACTCTCCATGTTCGAGCTGACAAATTCTATAATGGACCAGCCCCCCATAGCAGTACCAAAGACCACAGTGTTGAGGATGTTGACAGTGACAGTGACGACAGTATTGTTTCACTAGATGCCAGAGGAGGAGAGGCATTTCCAAACCCAGTGGATAATATGCATGCAAACAATATTAACTCTGTACGGGGGAACTTGAAGTTTCAGAGAAAGTTTGCTGTCGACCAACATAGACATTTCAACAAGGCACCAATTGCAGAACAAACCGTGTCTAAAAATGTTCCCAAGACAGACAGTTTGCCTGAGTTTGTTCAGAAAAGCGGGCATATATTCCGGTGTACACTGTGTGCTGCCCCGTGTACGTCAGAAGCTGAAGTTACCAAACACGTAGACGGTCGCAGGCACAGAGTCGCAGTCCTCATGAATGGTTTGCGAACAAAGAGGTATGTAATGTATATCGACAATCATAGTGAGTTGGATTATACACTGTTTTTAGCAATATCACAGCGGGGCACACCATAAATGGGCTTCACACATTGTACCCATGTGGGGAATCGGGTAAGAGTTCTGCCGTAAACCCCGCTTGAAATGTATTCTATTTATTAGGATTATTTCAAGGGGTTAGGTTTGGCGTTAGATTTTAAGTTTAGTGTTAGGTAAAGGCTGTGTATAAAAAAACATAGGCATATATTCTTAGGCATACGGGGGTTACGGGCGAAAATCTTTTCGGGAATCGAACCCGGGCCTTCAATGTGATGAGTGAACACTTTAACCACCAAGCTATCCCACCACCCAATGAGATGGATAGACAGACATGTATTTCAGGAGATCTAGACTGTATTAACACAATAATTTCCCCTTCATTTTTCCTCATGCAGATTTCTTTCTATAGCCAAGTATGTTGAATTCAGATAGTTGGACTTAAATGTTTTTATCAAAAATGGTTTTTGTTAGTTGAGTTACATTGACCATATTGACATTGTCCTCACTATATTTATTATTTTCTATTAACCAAAAATTGTTTAGAGAATATTGGTTATAAGAACTTTGATACATATCTATTAATGATCATCATATTTATCTCAAATCTTCCTTTTTTATACTGTCTGCTTCAAGGACATAAAATACCACCTTTATTTAGTTTACCTGGTTTACTTATAGTACAAAAGCATAAGTGTCATCAGTTTTCCAACAGACTTTTCTCTTCATTTTGATCTTTGAAAAACAAACTGAGATTATTGGTTATAGTGAATAGTGAGTGAATGAGTTTAGTTTTTACGCTGCTTTTAGAAATATTCCAGCAATATCACGGCAGGGGACACCAGAAATAGGCTTCACACATTGTACCCATGTGGGGAATCGAACCCAGGTCTTTGATGTGGAGAGCGAACGCTTTAATCACTAGGCTACACCACCGCCCTTATAGTGAATAAGTACGCACCCGATTGTCATCTTCACCTTATTTTGGGAAATGTTAAGAAGTAATTGTATGTCAGACTTTGTTGTTTGAGATCCATACATGCCTGACAGATTACATGGCATTCCAGACATTGCAACCTTGTACAATGTATCCCAGCCAGAACTTGACGAAATGTTAATTTTCATGTTGATGTTTTGGAGACCATAGCTCGAAGAATCCTGTTAATAGTATGATCAGTCATGGACAAATTATAACTGAGTATCTGACAATTTACCAAATCAATCTCTACCAAATCTTCAGGTGTTTTGGGTTGGGTTTTTCAGAGATGACCTTATCAAAGACAAGTTTGGAATCCAGTTGTCCGCATCAGTGTCAGGGGAAGGGGAGACATTTGTGATACCGCTGATGGAGGGTGTATCGAGGCGGTGACGCTGGCCATACATAACACCAACACTAGAGATACTGTGACGCTGCTCAGCTGCGAGCTGCTGAAACGGATTCGCGTGTTCCAGCTGGATGATTCCAAGAAAGTGACTGAATCCCAAGGCCATGCAACAATCCTTCCTGGTAAGTAGAGTAGCTCAACATCCTTATTGCTGCTTGAGGACATTTCCTGTGAGCTGGGCTTTATGACACTTTGAACACTTTTTCAGTTATGTGTTATTACATATCAGCTATTTCCAACTGTTATCTGAGGCACCCTACACCACTGGCTATTAATCTATGTTTGTTCAAATTTCTAAGATGCTTCGGTGAAAGATCAAAGGTGCCGACAGTACTTTATCAGACGATAATGTGCACTTTTTGCATTACGTCACAATGTATTGGCATCACTGTGCCATTCTTGTCTGCCCCTTCGTAATCAAACACTTTTGCATTATGTCACAATGTAACCGATGTCACGATGAATGTCAGTTGCCATCGCCTCGTACAGCCTCCTACAGTAAACTACTCCGTTGCATCCCGTTTCTTGGTTTGCAGTTGCTCCACGCAGCTAACATCACTGGCGGAAACGTTACGCTTATGTTTTCCGACGTTTAAAATGTCTCAATTCGACTCACAAGTTTTTAGCGACACGGTAGCGTTCGCAATGTTTACTTCCCACAATGCAATCGTGGAATGTCGCTTGACTACTCAGCTTCATCTGGATGTACTGATCTAAACTTACGTTACTAGTAGACATGCGACGTTCATATTGGCCCATATGGTTTACGTTAATGACAGATGTAATTAAAATAATTCAGAGAAGATATTTAATCCGAACGTAAACCGTCATCAAACTGTTATCATTGTTATTTTCTGGTAACGTTCTTCTTAACGCAGGGGGGCAGACACATCAATAGAACAGCGCTCCAGTTAGCCCTGTGCGACGATTCTTAATTTAGGTCACCGTCGTTTGTTTTCTGCCTTAAATTAATCGTAATTATCCTTAGAAAGCATTAAATTTGGCATCTTAGAAAAGAAATACAGTTCGCTCTTCCACCATGTTTAGTGTAATAAAGCACACTTTCGCCCTGAACTGTTATAACGTTAAAGCACTCGGACGCAAGCGTCCCTGTACTTTAACTATAATAGTTCAGGGCGAAAGTGTGTTTTTTTACACTATACATGGTGGTAGAGCGAACTGTATTTCTTAAATAATGTGATTTTGTTAGGCCAAATGAAAAAAAATGTTGTGGTTCCGATTACACCTCTTTAAAATTTAGGGTAGGTATGTAGGAATTTATTTTTTTTTAGAAGGAAAGTACAAACTAATAAAAATACAAGATTTGTATCAAACTTTGCACTGCACCTTTCCTGTCAACAAAGAAACTATTACCCAAACGTGAAAAAACAAAAACATCCATAAAATGATCCTGAAGTTATCGGTTGAACAAATTTAATGTTGGACTTTTTTCATCGAGTTCAAGAGATGTAATTTGTGATAATTCTCAAAAAAAATAATATCTCTTTGTATTGCACCTCTGTTATTGATATGGAGCGTGATCCCCGAATTTGAAAACAATCCATTTAAATGTGTTCAAGTAATTAGTTGAACCAAAATTCTCTTCTTGTTTTTTAAGTTCAAAATATGTAAATGGACACAATGCTTTCAAGATTTAGAAAAGTGGAACCAAACTTTCTGCTGCAACTCTCCTTTAGACAAAGAATCTGTTTTCCAAATTAGAGGTTCTGGGATATACAAGAAGATTCTCCAACTCGCAGGGTCAGAATAGAGAGAGCGAGGAAGTGAGGTTTTATGCTGCTTTTAGCAATATTCCAGCAATATCACAGCAGGGGATCCCAGAAATGGGCTTCACACAATGTACCCACCATTTGACAAATCGAACCCGGGTGATTGACGTGACAAGCGAGCGCCTTAACCGCTAGGCTTCCCCACTGCCCCCAGAATATAGAGGAAATTCTGATGTGGTTATAGTACCCTGTAGTACCTTCCAGTCTAAATACAGTATACCACTGTACTACTCCCTACTGTACAACATTATACACCTGGAACATTGTTGTACAGTGAATAACACAGGGCCCCGATCCACAAAGCGTTCGTAACTTTACGGCTTGTCGTAACTGTATAGTTAATCATAGGCTTGCGAATGTCTTAGCGCTATGAACGCTTTGTGGATCGTTCGTAACGTTACGGCCTGTTGTAACTGTATAGTTCATCATAGGCTTGCGAATGTCGTAGCGCTATGAACGCTTTGTGGATTTATAACGTTACGGCCTGTCGTAACTGTATAGTTCATCATAGGCTTGCGAATGTCGTAGCGCTGTGAACGCTTTGTGGATCGTTCGTAACGTTACGGCCTGTCGTAACTGTATAGTTCATCATAGGCTTGCGAATGTCGTAGCGCTATGAACGCTTTGTGGATCGTTCGTAACATTACGGCCTGTCGTAACTGTATAGTTCATCATAGGCTTGCGAATGTCGTAGCGTTATGAACGCTTTGTGGAACGGGACCCTGCTCCTTAACAATAGCAACAGCAGCTTCTGCAAGGACCCCACTTAATTCCAAACACTGTAAATGTATTGAACAACTGACTCTGACAATCTTGTCTTCGGATTTACAGGGGAATCATATGTTATAAAAATCAAGGTTCAAGCTCGTAACGTGGGGAGTTTCCACTCACCCCTTGCGCTGCTGTTCTGTCTGAACCATGACAGTAACGCAATGTTCCACATTGTGCGGTATCTCCACGCCAAGTGCCGGAACGACATCATCGAGCAGATGAAGCCAACGCCGGGGACCAAGATGGACAAGAGACAGAAGGCAAGGAAGCACACTCGGGTTTCTAAAGTCGTGGACGGTCTGCCGCTCCCCAGGTATTGTACCGGTCTCAGATGGAGTGAGTGATGGAGTTTGGTTTTACGTTGCTTGTAGCAATATTCCAGCAATATCACGGCGGGGGACACAAGAAATGGGCTTCACACATTGTACCCATGTGGGGAGTCAAACCCGAGCCTTCGGCTTGACGAGCGAACGCTTTACCCACTAGGCTACCCCATCGCCCCAGTCTCAGAAATGTTTTTGTTAAACATCACACTCAGTAATATTCTGGTAATGCCATATGGGACTGTGGCCTGTCAGTAATCAAGTCTGGACTAGACAATCCAGTGATTGATGTTCTCCGTAACAATCCACATTGTCTGGGCACCAACTGTACATAGATATTTACAATTTCATATTTAGGTCTGAGTTTAACTACTTGATTAATGGTTATTCCCTCTAAAATAAAGTTGACGGTGTGCAAAAACAAGTTAGTTGGTTTTGTCATCCCAAAATAAAGTTTATGATATGCAAAAAAACAAGTATGAGAGTCCCAAAAAAACAAAAACAATGTTTGAACAAACAGAAGATGTTTACAGGATGGTTCATCAGTGAACTCCTGTGTTTGTTTTTCCGTTGTGAAATATCCAGCGTGGGTGATACCTAAGTAAATTAGTGAGACACTTGAATCTCTGAAAACATCATTATTTAATACATTATCTGAATGTTGTTTATGCTGGTTTCCTTATCAGTTTGGTTTGTCTGAGGAGCAGTTTTGTTTGTTTTTATTTGTGTCAGGATTCAAACACTGTGCTGGCTGAAAAAATGTTGGCTCTTAGCATTTTTATATAGTGACATATCCATGACTGACTGAGTTTAGTTTTACGCCGCTTTTAGCAATATTCCAGCAATATCACGCCGGGGGACACCAGAAATGGGCTTAACACATTGTGCCCATGTGGGGAATCGAACCCAGGTCTTTGGCGTGATGAGCCAACGCTTTAACCACTAGGCTACCCCACTGCCCCGACATATCCATGAAGCAGTATTAGAAAGGGTTTTGGTTGAAGTCCACTTGTCCCCAGTCAACAACTACTATTGGGATTATTGTGTTATCCAGGGTGGGGAATGACCGTCTGGAAGTGAAGATCCAGCTTGGTTTGTACCGGATTCCTGACAGTCTGAGGAGAATCATCAACAACGGCCTCACAGACAAACAGGGCCTGAAAACATTTGAAGTGATCGAGATGACCGCCCTCAAGTATGTACAGATCACCTTCATCTTGTGACATGTTGACAGTTGCTTTACAAAGTTCACCCAATAAATCATCAGGATGCAGAATATATTCTCAGTAAATGATGACTAAATTTCCTTTCATCTGATTGGTTGAATTGTCACTTGCACGACTTGACACTATAACTTGTATGTTTCTCTCGAGGGTAATACAGTCTGATGTACGTCTCTTTGTAGCAGTGTTACCCGAGCTGTAAGGCGAGGGATGACACTGCTACAAAGAGGCGTACATCAGAACGTATTACCTGAGGGAGAAGCATACAACGTATTTATCTTACCGCCATGTTAAATGTACAAAATATCATTGTATTTTATGTTAAAGATCGCTACCGACTATATGACATGCAAACAAAATGGTGTCTGCCTCTCGACTGGATTTTTAACATCGGTGAAACATATTCTGACAAGCATAAAACTGCTATAAAAGCTGAGTTTGCAAACCATTCAATGTATAAAATAGCTTAAATAAAGCAGTGAAAGTCGGTAAAATAAACCTGTACAAAGTTAACACAAAAACTGCAGATCGAACGGTTTTCGAACTCCAGGCACTGCATGCGTCATATTATTGCGTCATGCGATTGTTAGCACTTAAGCTTCCTCGCAGAGGGCTTGGCGGTTACCGTGGCAGCGGGTAATATTTTTTCCAGTTGTCAACCTCCCAGACGGAAACTTGTTAAACTGCCATTGACCAATGAAATTAAAGTATTTTACATGGAGGTAAGATAAAGTGTTGTGTTAACATCACATGAGGTTAAGATAACAATCCACAGGCCCCATTTGGCTAAAAGTAGAATGGGAAACCCTAACATAAACTCCTAATCTGTATGTCTGTTGCAACTGCTCAAGATAGGCAACACTACCTTCCTGTGATGTCATTGATTCAGAGTTACTTCCCTTCCCAAATAAGGGCAGATGAGGCTGATAGATGGTGGCAAATTAGTGTAGTTTTCAACAATTTCATTATATGTTACAGACCTCACTTTCAGTTGATCCAATGATTTATTAACCTTGGACAAGTGAAATCACTGAGGTTTGAGTCGAAAATGACCCGAAAGTGAAGTCAATACTTGCAGAGTAGTGATATCAGTTGGGACAAAATGCACTTCTCTCATTTTACAATAAGTCATCTTTCATGGCATAATAGATTATAGTAATATGAAAAAATCCAGTATGCTTAACTTCTTTGAGAGTACAAGTATATGAATAGTGTAATGATGTGAGATTTTTCATAGTTTCAGAATTTGAGCCTTTTGTTTTAGAAATGAAACGAGAAATAACATGCTAGGATGTTTTTGAGTCAGGACTTTTTGTGCCTGTTTATTAGCATATGAAGTACTTTTTAAAGGAGGACTATTTTAGTACTATGATTCTGGATCTTGTTGCCCTCAGGTCGATGCTGGAGCAACCAATGATGATGTCGGAGTACGCCCGCCGATTGACGACGCTGATGTATTTTGAAGAGATTCAGATGGAGGTTGACATCCGACAGTATGACATCCCAGACGCAGCCATGACCAAATATTTAAAAAACTTTCGCCTGCTATTGCTCAAGGTAAGATACCTGTCAATAACTGTACGGTGACAAATGTTTGTCGCTCTTACTGTACATGTAAGCAGAAAGATGTCCCTGTTTTGTAATGGAGAGCATTCTCAAAGATTTTGTTCTATTTGTACAGGGAGACTGACTGAATGAGTTTGGTTTTACGCAGCTTTTAGCAATATTCCAGCAACATCACGGCGGGGGACACCAGAAATGGGCTTCACACATTGTACCCATGTGGGGATTCGAACCCGGGTCTTTGGCGTGACGAGCGAACGCTTTAACCCTTAGGCTACCCCACTGCCCCGTGTACAGGTAGAACATTCTGAATGATGTATATGTGTAAGTGTGTGCGTTTGTGGCTGACATTTTCAAAGATGTTGTGTTTGTGTGTATATGGCTGACATTCTCTGACACACTTGTTTTGTGGCCAGGTGCCAGGTCTAGCAGAGAACCGTCCATCTGTCCTGAAGGGAGACTGTCTGTATGTGCGTATACTGGACAGTGAGGGCGTGGCAGGGGACCATGAGTACCAGGGGTACGTCCATGAAGTGCTGCAGAACGAGGTGGCGCTGGGATTCAGTGATAGGTACGTATATCATAGATAGCTATGTACAGCAATCAAAACAGATCATGGTTGTTTTCATTTTACTCTATGACAATTCGTAACAATATACAGGACCAAACAGAATTTTAACAGACTATGGGTGTGGACTAGAGGTGAAAGGTATGCAACTGTTCAGTGGTTCCACATTGAGACTATTAACAACCACTACTTAATGATATTAAAGTACTGAAGAGTGAAATAAACCCCAAACAAACTGATCAGTGAAAACACCAGGAAATGAATGTACCCTCAGACTGTTCACAAGACTGTCAGACATGATGGAGGTTACCTTTCCTTGCAGTCTGATGAAGTTCTTTGTTCCGAACATGAAGTTCAGCGTGAGGTTTGTGTTCAACCGACTGCCCCTGCGTCTGCAGCACCGAGCATGTGAGTTGGCAGAGGAACTCAGTCTAGACAACCTGCTCTTCCCCCAGCCCGACCTCATCGGCAGTCTGGGCTTGATGCGACCCCTGGACAAAGACTTGAAGTAAGTACACATCACTAGCAAAGGTTGTCAACACCAACATGACACTGAGATCCAGGTTAGAATTGGTCTTCAGCAACCCATGCTTGTGTCGAGGTGACTAATGAGTTCGGGTGGTCAGGTTCGCTGACTTGACTGAAGCATGTTATTGTTTCCTGACTGTGTAGATGGATGCTAGAAGATTTCGAGGCTTCAAATTCTGATTGTTGCACACAGCATATATTTCACTATCACACTTGGAGACAGAATACATGTTACATTCATCAGTGATTTCGATATGACACAAGTATCACATCACAAATAATGTTGAATATTAAGAGAATCTGCTTCAAACAAAGTGCAGTGAGTTAACACAAGCAAGTTATGACGCATCTTTGAGCAGATTTCCAGTTATATCACAGCCAGGAGGAAAGCATTGAAGGTTTTTACCACTTTTACAAGACCCCCAAGCATGGGGTTATATCAGACAAAGCAAGAAACACAATAAGGGCAAACCGGTATTCATGACCACTTTCACAGGTTCCTGGAACAACAAAGGGATACAACTCTGCATAGTAAATGCAGCACCTCAGATGACTGTACCACCTTTAACTTTGGTTCAACACAAACCTAAACTTGATCCACTATTTCGATCTTGTATCATGCATATTGAGCAATGATTGACTTGTCTAAAGTGTTGATGCCATGGTAACGCAGGTTCTTTGCCCGCAAACCGTCCCTCAACAAGCAGCAGCAGACGGCAGTGAGGCACATTGTGGCAGGGTCATCCCGACCTGCCCCCTACCTGGTGTTTGGACCCCCAGGAACAGGCAAGACTTTCACCATTGTGGAGGCCATGAAACAGGCAAGTCATCATGGTGCTTTCTCTGTGATTGTGACAAAACAAGCTTATCAGTTGCCCTTGAAACATGACCGACAATAGGTCTGACTGTAATGGGTTTCATGTTGAAATGCATGTGACAGATTAAGAATGTGAAAGATATTACTGAGGTAAGATTTCACAAAATATTTGATTTACATAAAGTCATTTTGAGTCACATTTAGAAGTTGTGAAGACGCACTGTGATACTGTGTATTAAGGAACAGTGTTCAGCTTCGGCCACCAGTCTGAAGCGTGCGTCCAGTTCATGTTTCTTTCTGCCAAGTCTTTATATGTATATGGTCGCTACTGTAGTGCCAAAAGGCATGCTTGTGATTGTAGACAAGTCTCGAGTCATCAGTAATAGATGAGGTTTCTGTGACAGATATGGAAACACATCACATCCTCCCACGTCTTGGCGTGTGCCCCTTCCAACAGTGCCGCCGACCTCATCACTGAACGCCTCCTGGAGCATGTGTCCAAGTCGGAAATACTCCGAGTGAATGCAACCAACCGTGCCTGGATCACAATCCCAGAGAAAATCAGAGTGAGTTGAAGCATGTAAATATACTGAACACTTGCAGTGAGCATGTGATGCCCAAGCTGTGAATAAACCTGAACTATGTGAATCCCAGTATTAGGAAGTACTGCTGTCAACAGAATTCCCCTTGTACCACATCGCGTTAGCTTCATGTTGGAGGAAAACCCCGAGTGAGGCAGGCTTTTATGGCTTTGGTGAAACCCACAAGCAAGGAGTCCCAGTACTATGGCACTTATATTATTAATGGAAACATGAAGACATGGCAACTATTGCTACTAGTCAGCATGCCAGTCTCAATCCCGGAAATATATGTGTTGTTATCAACTGCTAAATCTTATCAATCACCTCATACAAACATAGTATAAAGTACAATTAAAGTATTTTTGAACTACCGGTATGCAGAAACAGCTCAGTTTTAATGGAAATTCCACAGAGTGACAAGTATTGAATTTGTAGTATCCTTGTGTTGCTTTTAGAGGGCTAAAAGTGTCCCAGATAGCATTCGGACGTTGGCCCAACGTTGGCAAAACCATTGGCAACGTTGGGCCAACGTCTGAATGCTATCTGGGGTGTTGTGGGGTGATTAGTAGCTGTTGTGTTGAGGGGTGATTTATCACTGTTGTTATCCCTGCAGGATGTGTGCAACTATGACCGTCAGACTGGACATTACTACTACCCCAAGAAGGAGGACTTCATGTCCTATAGGATCATTGTGTCCACGCTGGTCACTGCTGGAAGGTCAGTACCTTGCCTTGCATTGAGGGTCATACAGATATAGTCATGGAATATACATTCCCAGGCCTGGAATAGATAACTGTCATGACATCATGAGAATATGAAAATATATTATTGTATTACATTTTTCATTTTTTTATGGTGATATATATCTGTGATCAGCAAGGGCTTTGACCAAAGTAAAGTGAAGTTTAATTTTATGAACTTAAATTTGTGATTTTTAATTATTATTTTTTATTGATGACTGACTGACTGAGTTTGGTTTTACGCCGCTTTTAGCAATATTCCAGCAACATCACGGCGGGGGACACCAGAAATGAGCTTCACACACTGTACCCATGTGGGGATTCGAACCCGGGTCTTCGGCGTGACGAGCCAACGCTTTAACCATTAGGCTACCCCACCGCCCCCTTTTATTGATGAAATATCATGGGAAAATTGACATTACCATGATGATAAACTGGAAAAGCAGGGTTCAAGATTTGGCTTGCACCAGGTGCATGTTGACGTCAAGATGTGTTACACCTGACTAAACCAGGTACAATCAACCATAATGGTACCTATTAACTATATGTGTATATAATTACAAAAATACAGTTTCATGGCACTGGTCAGTGTCAGTGATAATCTGAAATATTTATTCCACTTCAGAAAGTGAGTGAGTGTTTGAGTATGGTTTTACCCCGCTTTCAGCAATTTTCCAGCAGCATCACAGCGGGGGACACCAGAAATGGACTTCACCTGTCACATTGTGCCCACGTGGGGAATCGAACTCAGGCCTTTGGTGTGACGAGGGAACACTTTAACCACTAGGGTACCCCACTTCAGAAAGAATGAGTCATACATCCGATAAATTGCCTTGTTTTCTTCTCATTCTCAAAATGTTAAAAATAGCTTATCTGTGTATATGTTGAGATGAAATTCATGTAATATCCACATCTTCTCTTTCCCCACCAGGCTGTCGTCTGCCAATTTCCCAGCGGAACACTTCACCCACGTCTTCATCGACGAGGCCGGCTATGCCGTGGAGCCGGAGTGTGTCATCGCCATTGCCGGGATCCTCGACTGCAACCCCCTTGTCAAGAACGGAGGTCAGCTGGTGCTGGCAGGAGATCCCAAACAGCTCGGACCAATTCTGAGGTCGCCATTTGCCATGCAGTATGGTCTAGGTGAGGGCAGTTGCCTGGGTAACCAGTCAGTCCATAGCCAGGACTGCCAGTTGACATGTGCTTGTTAACTTTGCAATCATACCATAATTTATTATCTACAAGGGCGAAAATATTGGGGTTCATATTTTTCATACAATGCCCTAGGGCAAAATATCACTTTGTCATGGTGACGTCATGAACAATGTTATGACATCACGTTTCTTCTGTGACTTTGCGTTCTACATGCGGAGACGGCGGGTAGCCAGCCTATGTTTGAAAATAGATTTAGGTTTATTTTCCTCAATTTGACGACTTTGTCAATAAACAGAATAGTACAATCGTGCCCATATCTCTCTCGGAAATGCCTTTAGGCACTCGTGTCGTAAACATAGTATGACATGGGCACTCATATAATATCCTCTATATAATCAGAATAGAACAATAAACACAAAACCCGCTGTGGCTTCAGTAAAATTGTGTGGCAGTATGTCTTGTTTTTAGCTTAACACTAACATCTCTTTGTGAAACATAGCTCACAACATTGATTCAAAGAGAATGATAATAGTTACCAATGGCATGAAGCTATAGGTACACTTTACCCACAATGCCACTCACTCATTCACTCACCCACCCATAAGAACGTAGTGCCTTGCAACAAAACTTTTTGTGGTGTGGCCTTACATAATAAACAGTGTTTGGTCATTAGTTCATGCACAGAAAAGAGCATCTTAAATTTTTTACTGTGAGTTCATCTCCATGCTATTTCTGTCATCGAACATTAATTAAGAAATACAGTTCTCTACCACCATGTATAGTGTAATAAAACACACTTTCGCCCTGAACTATTATAGTTAAAGTACGAGGACGCTTATGTGCGCTCATAGCACATGCGCAGTGAAATAGGTTCGCGCAGCTAGTAAGCGGGTTGTCCGGTGAATATGCGGTGAAGGCTTTGGTGTGAGCTATTTTTCTAATGTTTTGTTGATATTTCACAGGCGCGAGCTTTTTATATGTTATGACAGTAGATTACCGATTTAACTGTTTATATAATTTCATTTGTCTATTTCACCACACATTCTTCTTACCGAGTCACTTTTTCAGTTCGATACTTAAAAGCAATGTCATTATTTAGCGTTGACAGAATTTCTTACTGTGATATAGATATGTCGTTGTCACAGACAAAACTCAATGTCTGTTTTATTGACACCTACCGGTATGTGTCTGCCTGCCTGTCTGCTAATGACAATATTCAATACACAACTTCGATCACTGACCACATGCAAATTGAACCAATCATGCTATACACCATAAACAAAATGCATTGATTTATGGCCCGAGTTCAGTCTCTGTAACATTATGTAATTACACAGACAGGCAGGTGTGATACTTGTACACACGACATGTTATGATGTCTGTTGATTGCAAAATGTTACACACAAAAAATGAGCATGTATTTACAAAACCCAACATCTCTATATACACACACAATGAGCCGTGAGGGAATCTGCAAATAAACCAGCCGTTACACTTGAGTGCACACCCACCCGCTCTGACTGGGTTCTGTATCCCGGCTGCTTCGTTTCTTGGGAAGTAAACCCAAGTACACAATATTGCACTTTTGATTTGCGATTGTACGCTTATAATTTTGTTTAAATGTTTATTCATAATCAGCAATATATATTATATGTCATGAATAAGTGATAATTGTGTTTTAATTATGTTTGATTTTTTGTTTGCATGTGACCTTTAATGGTATTGTGCATGTAGTTCTCATATTTCTTATAACTGTATGGGAACTATTAATTCCTGATTCATGGCTTTCGGGATCTCTGCTACCTCAACGCAACTTTATCAGTTAGCAACACAGTTGATAACAAGATGGTTGATTTCGGTAATTTTGACAGGATAATATACTGTTCAACACTTGATAAGGATAATCTACTGTTCAACATTTGATAAGAAAATGATGTACTTCCTTCAGATATGTCGTTGCTGGAACGCTACATGACACAACACCCAATCTATGCCAGACGGGAGGATGCCAGGACACCAGAAGAAGCGTACGACGAGCGGGTCCTGACAAAGCTGCTCAACAACTACAGGTCCCACAAAGCTATACTTCAGATGCCCAATGAGATGTTCTATGACAGCGAGCTGCAGGTGCACGCTCCCGCGATCAGGGACCTGATGTGTGAATGGGAGGAGCTACCGATACCCAACTACCCCGTCATATTCCACGCCGTCGTCATGGGAGAAGACATGAGAGAAGAACGCAGTCCATCGTTCTTCAACCCAGAGGAAGCTGTGACAGTCATCAACTACGTCAAACAGATCCTCGGCACCAGGATCATGGGAAAACAGATCAAGGTGGACGAGATAGGGATTATCTCCCCTTACAGGAAGCAGGTAGAAAGGGAGATTTGTTTTGGGTTACTGTTTTTGTGAGTCGTTGTTGATAATGGGGAATTAAAATTTACAGTGCCATACAGTCATCATGTTGGTGTGTACATTTTGTATATGATGTATATAAAAAAGCATGTCACTCATTTGCAAAGAAAGTAACCTTGAAGTTAGATTGAAAATGAAATGTATATATATTGGCCATTTTCAATCTAACGACAAGGTTACTTTCTTAGCAAATAAGTGCTTTTTCTAACTAAAGTACTACACAGCTTTTGGTAACTATGTTGCTATTATTTCTTATACCTCAAACTCACTACTAGAATTTGAAAGTTATGCATGGCATGGCATCCACAGTTAGATGATCATCCCTATCTTTAGCTGAGCAGTATGTATTAGGTTATAGATGTATCCTTGTACCAGTAAATGTTGTATACATCAGGGATAATTAGACTAAAACATATCAAAATGGATCAGTATTTTTCTACACTTGACTTTTTTGCTGTTATATATTTACCCCAAAATCTAAAAAATCGGACTTTCCATTTTAGTCACAAACACAAACACAACTGTAAGCCATTAGGCAAAATTGTTGTGAAATAATATATCAACTATAACAAGGTTGAAATCTGAGATGTCACATGCATCTGTTAAGTTCTCCATTACCTGATCCATTTTGAGGATGTTACACCATTGTGGAACATTACATTGATTTTGAACCAGGAATAAATGGCTATTCTGAATTTGGATTTAACATGTGAAACTGATGCAGCTATACATCATGTGTGAAATATGGAGACACTTTGTATCAACCATAACTCAGTCAGAGAAATTTGCTAAAACCTATTGATTCTGGGTTAGATTCTACACATTCTCATGATTTGTCCTGTACTTGTTTTTGATGAAGTTACTCTTCTGTTGTCAGAGTTGAATCTGAGCCAGGAATTTGTGATTTGTGTCTGAGACATGACTTGAGTCTGTTGGCTCAGGAAGTAAGATCAACTGCTTCTCATGATTTGTCCTCCATTACTGTTGTGCCAGGTCCAGAAGATACGACAGCAGCTCCAGAAGAACCGCATCGACACGCAGAAGCTGAAGGTGGGGTCTGTGGAGGAGTTCCAGGGAGCCGAGCGGCTCATCATCATCGTCTCCACCGTCCGCAGCAACCCCAAATACCTGTCACAAGATGTCAAGTTCAACCTCGGCTTCCTCAAAAACCCCAAGGTAGGACGGCATGTCAGTGCCGATATCCAACTGTGAAATACGGGGTTAGAGCTGACCTAGGTGAAATTTGTGGCCAATGTCATGTTAAGGTGGCTTCACACAGAATATAAGTTTGCAAACATTGGTTGGTAAACAAGTTCCCTAACTTGTGTCTACACAAGACAATAATGTGCTGCTATTAATTAATTCCTCTTCCTGTTTTCTCCTGCAGACTTGAGCAGGAGTAGACTACACAGTGTGTGTTATGCAGTCGCTTGGTATACACAGTGCCTGTAGTTTTTCACAGGTTTTATCGTATCAGAATTAATGCTCATTTGAGTGATGAAATAAAAAGGATTTTTGGTTTTTCTTTCAGAGATTCAACGTGACTGTGACAAGACCAAAGGCTCTGCTGATAGTCATCGGAAACCCCCACACCCTCCTGATGGACGAACACTGGGGCCGGTGGGTACAGCCAATCTGTTATGTTATACAGGGTGATAATGAGAAGTCTTATAATGCGCTAATCTCCACGCAACATAGCATGCTCAAAGCGCTAACACAAACATATACACACCATGATGAAAAAGTCTAATTCTCAAACAAATGCAGCTTGTACAGCACACTAGTCGACATAATCATCTGTATAACAGTAACCAGCATAAAGACAGCCTGTAGTTGACAGTATCGCAACAGCACCATCTTGCCTGCCAATCAGTAGTGTTCAAGAAATGGGCTTCCATTACTGAGCCTAGATTTGGCTATCATCATTGAACCCCAAAGCTTGAAACTTTATACATCTCCCCAAAATAATTGAAAAAACTGGGAGTAGGTGCACATTGTTTCCAGGGAATCAACACGACATGTTGCATATGTCCATAGTCCCACAATCCCTATGCAGGAGGCATATCATTTGAGACTATAGTTTGGCATGAAATGCATGTGGACCCGTTTTTTTGTAAATATCCCTTCATCCAATGACCCAATCGATCTCAAACTGTGCAAGTGGATGTTTTGTCAGACAACTAATCACATTGTAAAGCACCGATTTTATGCATTTGTATTAAAGAATCTGTCTATGTAACTGTCAACAAAATAAACAGCAGACCGCAGACTGCTTGCAGAGGGAGGGAGCCAATGACCTGTAACAGCGGCAGTTTTAGTAGTAAATTTGTAGTAGCTACAAATGCATAAAATCGGTGATTTACAATGTGATTAGGTTGTCTCACAAAACATCCACTTGCACAGTTTGAGATCGATTGGGTCATTGGATGAAGAGATATTTACAAAAAACCGAGTCCACATGCATTTCATGCCAAACTATAGTAACCTATAATGTACTTCTAATGTTGTTCAGTATATAATGGAAGACAAGGTTTGAGGATGGTATTGGTCAAGACTTAAATCACACCATGTTTCAATTGGAGACATATATTTTCAACATAATGTGGTCATTGTTTACTGTTGACTGATGTTAATGACAGAATTGGGACATGAGTTTATCAAGCCCAGCAACCTTCTCAGTGTGGAATAATAACTAACACGACATAGGGATTTACTACCATCTGTCAGTATACATTTCAGTGCTGAGACATGACATTAGTATAACTGTTACTGTGCTGATCTTCTCTTCGGAAGTCCCAACATCAGTTCAACTGTAATTTATGTGTTTGCCCTCTCTTCAGAAAGTATTATACATAAATGCCTTTCAGCAACTGTCTCCATCTTGGTTTCCAGGTTCATCCGGAACTGCAAGGAATGTGGAGCTGTTGCCGGAGAGGACTTTTCCACGGAAACGGAACAGGAGTTAGATGATGTCATGCAAAGACTTGCTGCTGTCAACTTGGATAGCATAAGTAAGACTGGTTACCATGGTAACACTTGGCGGTTTCCATTGTGAAGCCAGGAATGTCAATAAATGCGAAATTTATATGACTGTATCACAGTAATATTTAAGAGTAATTGACAAGGATAAATTCATATTAATTTTTTTAAATCTGGTTGTTCCAGTAATTATTTGTTATCTGTTTCAGATTCCAACCCAGATTTAGAAATGGAAGGAGGACAAGTTGTGAACTTTGAACAGCCATGGAGAAAAGATATCTGATGACAACAGAACAGCCAATCACAGTCCAAGCATGTCCATTCCAGCCAATCAGATTGCAGCATCAGCATTTATCATGGAGTCACATGCAGACCTGTTTACTCCATATATAGTGAAGGTTCACTAAGAAATATCTGTAATTTCAGCTACTTGTCAGTTGTCTTTTTATGTAGGGAAAGATAATTTAACCTGACACATTTTACAGTGAATGAACAAATAGATCCCTGAGTTGATTTGATGAACAGTTTTTTACAGCTAAGCCTTTTTTGACATTGACTGATCAAGGTCATCAGTATTTTGTTTGGCTGTTCCAAGGGTTTGGTCTATATACTTTACCCATAATGCAACAGGTTTATTTCCGTCATGCACACTTGGATCAAAGAGGACAGATTAATTGGGGAAAAGGACAACAGATACCAATTTGAAAGTTTTAAGTGCATTTGTGCTCAGGACTTCATTTCAAATGCATGGTATTGAGTCATTAAGAACTTGATTTTTATGCTAGTCTAAAATCCATGATTGTTTTCCTGTATTTATCGTCTAAGTTCTTTGTTGAAAAGTCCAACTACGGATAAAGTATTGGAGTAAACAGGTCTGTATCTTTTCACAAATGTCAGGATATGACTGGGAGATTCTCACAACACATTCCTTTATTTTGGCAGCTACAAGACAGTTGAATGTTTTTCTTCACAATTAGTCATACTGCCGTTGTTGCAGGCAAGGCATGGGATCAGTGGCGTTCGTTGTGGTGAGCAATAGCATTGTTTAGTTACACTGTGTACACAGATATCTTTAATTTGCCACCCAAAATTTACTCCCTTGGCAACTAAATTAAGTTGAATTAAGCATAATAAGTAATTATTTGATTAACAAGTGTGAGATGGGAGACATTTTATTATTTATTTTTTTCCAAACAATATTTTAAACCTTTGTGTACATAAGCTGTCAAGGGATATGATTCACGATTTTTAATTTGACTACGGTATGGCTTTTACGTCAAGGAAAGAAGGAAGACCACACAGTGATTTTCTTCTGTCTGCAAGTACTTGGGAACAACATTGTAATGTGACGTGAGGTGAGATGTGGGGTACTGGGACAATCAGGGATATAAATCCATTGATTAAAATATTATGGCCCAATATATGTTCATGGTTGAGACATTGTCAAATATAAGCTGTTTATTCTTTATGTGGGGGAGAACTTTGCTGTCATTTTTATCCTTCCTTCAACAAACAGTCATTGATATCTTGTGGCCTTAGTGGAATGTCTAAAGTTCAAGGTAGTGAAAGGAAATCTTCATGGTGTGTCTGAGGTTGTTAGCTGTACCACATGTACTGGGGTATATGGATCTTAATAGATCAGAGACATTGGGTTTTTTATCATGTAATTTTATCATCAATGAATGAATGTGATATCTGTTGTATTGTTACAATGGAGGGTTTTAGCCTATGATTTTAGCTTTCATTTACAATTCATTAAACCTGTTTTTCATTAAGTTTTAAACTGCTTTTCCATTTTGCAGCTTTGCTATATTTTTATCAGCACTATAGATATATCTGGTGTGATATAGATGCTGACAGCCAATTGCTTGCTTTCCCCAGGGTTCCAGATAAATTTTCAACATCAGGAGTACGTACTCCTTACTGTTTCAATGCAGGAGTACTGGAAAATCTTATGAGTACATTTAGAGTACTTAATGGAATTTAATGGAGTATCACTAATCTTGTGTATCGTTTCTTAGATGCACCACAACATTGCTACTCTTGTGTAGACAGGTCAATAAACTATAAAACAATACTTTTTTCAGATAAATACGTCTGTAAATGATTCTAAGACCATACACCATTGCTGTAGTGCGTATCTGCTACGTTTTCTAAATTATTTCCTACCGTATCGTGCACATTTCATATCCGTACACACGCCGATACGGCCCTTATCTGGAGCCCAGCTTTCCCTGTACTGAATGTTGAGTGAAAGTCATACATACTTCTACTCCTAACTGTATTAACAACGTGAACATACTAACACCATGATGTGGTGGTGTAGCATGAGAGTGTGTTGATGCTTGAAGTGACATTTAAATCTGAACTGTCATCACAGTAGTTCAGTGACATTAGTAATTCTTATTCGCATGAAATGGATTAGATGTATCAAATTAAATAGCCATGCCAAGATGATAGAATTGACTTACAATGTGAAGCAGTTTAATTCAGGATGTTGAGTATTATATAATATCAAATAAATAGCAGCATTGAAAATTATAAAAAGCAAGGAATAGGACAATGATATCTTTCTCTTATAGAAACTCTCCAGTAAGTACTGAATCATCTTTTGACAGAGACTCTTCCTTGTATCACCATGGGATCATATACCTGATAGGAAGAAGACAAATCTTACTTTTTTTGCCTGTGTTAAGCACCCTGCACCCTGCAATCTTTGTAAAGCATTTGTGTTTTAGGAAAAAAATATTTTTATTTTTATATATTCATGTAAATATTAATATGATTGATGTGAGTATATTTTTCCTGCACCAAAACAAGGTTTAAATAAATATGACATGAAATGTTATACTTGTAATTAAAATCCCAAGATATTGGCAGAATGTATTGAAATATTCTTAATTCATATGGCAGTTTTAAAAGTCACAAAGAGTCTTTGATATGGATTATTCCAGTTCTGAAATAGACAGATACAAACAGTTGGTGTTGAGAATATTAAGGTGGTCATATTTGGGCTGCCAGAGTTATTTCCCTTGCATTACCACATCAGCTTGATTAGCTCATCAGAATTCAGTTTTGTTTATGTTCATGTGTTGCTTGCAAGACTTTGTTGTTGTTTTATGGTAGAACAGCTGTGAGTTGGGAGTGATGCATCCATATGTAGACGTTCATTCCATGATGTGTTCTCTTTTTGAGTGAAGGGTGAATATCATATAAGTAACACTTCCAAGAAGAATGATACTATTCACAAATTTCATACCATCACCATATTTTACATCTGTTAGTTGATGTGTATTACAAATGTTTTTGTTTGATGGAATACAACATTAAAACGTTTAATCTTTCAAATGTCTTGATTTGGTTTCTGATGAGGATTTGCTTTGTATGACAGTTGCCCTCTAACTGTAGACACATGGCAGCCTGACAAGAAGAAATAAAGGGATTTGATCTATATGTACACCTGAACTGAAAGTATCCACCAATTGAATATGATGGCACCAGGATCCTCATGGCGATGCCAGAGTAAAAATTAACCCCCAGCAACCTATGCTTGAGAGTGAGAGAGAGAGAGAGAATTTGGTTTTACGCCGCTTTTAGCAATATTCCAGCAATATCACGGCGGGGGACACCAGAAATGGGCTTCACACATTGTGCCCTTTTGGGGAATCGAACCCGGGTCTTGAGCATGACAAGCTTTAACCACTTGGCTGCCCCACCACTCTGCCACCCTTGAGGAGGCGGCATCAATAGGGTGGTCGAACATGATGGATCACCATTTTTAGGATGTGGGACATTGCTCAGAATATCAATCACACGTTTGTCAGATCCAGACATGATTATTAACAAGCCTCATCAGTCTTGTAGCTGGATATATGAGGGCCACATTAAACCATGACAACATGTACTCTGTACAGTGGAGCTCTAATGCCAGTCAACCATATTTCACTTATATCTCAGCTCCCTGTAAATTGGTGAATCAGCAATTGAATACACTATCAAGCCACAGGGCCTCGTTGGTGGACTTCAAAAAGAAACTTTAAAAAGTGAGTGAGTGAGTTTAGTTTTACCCCGCTTTTAGCAATATCAGGGTGGGGGGCACCAGAAATTGGGCTTCGCACATTGTACCCATGTGGGGAATTGAACAGGGTCATCTGTGACAAGCGAACGCTTTAACCACTAGGCTACCCCACCGCCCCACTCAAAAAAGATGCTCAAAACAGTTACTAGTATTCTGGAAACAACATTTGAGACTGATTTCACCTTGAAATCCCAAATGAGATAATATTTTGAGCCCAGGGGTCAGGGTCCCGTTTCACAAAGCTATCGTAGCACACTGTTGTAAATCTATGTTACAGTATAGGAGCTACGACAGTCGTACCGCTACGATAGCTTTGTGAAACGGGCCCTGATACACAAAACGTTCATAGAACTGTGACATTCTTAGCCTACATATGATTAAGTATAGAGTTACGATAGGTAAGTTAAGGAACGCTTTGTAGACCATGGCCCCGTTCTACAAACAGATCATAGCACTAAGAGATAATAAACTCCCATACTTAAAGGGGAAGTATACAGATAAAAACTTTTTATGCTGGAAATGTGCAAAACAGAAAAGGGTAATTTTCGTGTAAACTTAGAATAGTCCTAATGCCACTTTGTGGAACGGCTCCCGGGTTACCAACGCTGTTTAATCCTCACATCTTGTGTGATTTACGAGTGTTAGATGAGATGACACAATGTCACAGATTGTTCCCTTGTTTAGTACGATCACATCTGAATAAAAAACCATTGGTTGATAGCATGACCCACAACCAGATGACACTTAACAAGGCAAGCCAGTTCATTTTATTAAGTTGTTATTTATATGAATTTTAATACTATTCCTGTCCTGAATGGGAACTTTTATTTTCAAATACATTTGAAATAGCAGCACGGCGAACAGTCTGATTTCCGATTATCGTGGGTTTTCTGGAACTTTTCTAATTTTGGTGCATTTAAAAAATATTCACTTTCAGGTTTATAGGTTCTCGTGAACACTCTGTGTGAACATAGAAGTTTTATTTGTCACAATGTGGGTATATTTTAAAAACATATGAACACCAAACGCAAGGTGTTTCTGAAATATTTGAACACGATTATAATATTTCACAGTTCTAGGAAGAGTCCCTTCCCTCACGACCCCCTTCCGGCGACCAGTAATAGACTCGTCCCTTGACGACCGATGTTCACAATATATCAGAACTAATATTTAAGAAAATGAATGGCAAATGAACTTTTAATTGACAAAAATAGAGATCATATATACATAGGTGGATCCAGAGATCACCCCCACCCTTTTTTTCCTGAAAGTTTATTAAATGACCATTGAAACTCTCGCGAAAACGGGTGAAAATAAACTATGCACTCCACCTTTCTCAAAAACAAAAAGTTGTATCCGCCCCTGTATATATATGCATAAAAAGTAGCATATTATGTAACATTTAAATGATATTGAGGTTAGAAGCATTTTACCTTCAGAATTTTAGAAAAAATGTTTACGAAATACATACAAAACGACATTTTTACGTCTGGCCTATTATTAAACCGTTCAGTGACGTTGTACGTGGATTCTGAGAAAAGGGAAACACCAACTACGTATTGTGACCCCTAACATCCTTTATAAGGGAAATAGGAAGTTATTGTACGTTGGTTTTCTCACTCCCCAAGTGTGTCGTCATCATCAAATCATAATGGATGCCAAGCTTCTGATTCATGTGTTCAACAGTTTCCGTTACAAGTCGAAGTATTTTAGTCGTAAGAATTGAAATTAAAGTAACATGAATCGGAATTTTTTTATTCCATTTCTGTATAATCAGACTTTTATTCAAAAATAGCAAAAACGTTATACAGATGTATACAGAGTAATGTGTTCTTATTGTCAGTGAAGTCTTATTCACTTTTATTCCCTTCGATCGCACATGTTGGGATATTTTTTATTGTATGAAATTATGGGGGGAATCAATCAACAGCCCAGATAGCATTCAGACGTTGGCCCAACGTTGGCAATGGTTTTGCCAACATTGCCAACGTTGGGCCAACGTCCGAATGCTATCTGGGAGGTACTGTGGCAAAACTCGTTGATTTCTTATATGCGAATATTAATTATCGTTACATAATCCACTTCGGTTTACATTATTTTGGCCTGATAAAAGTTGGTTACAGTTGCAACTGAATAAAAACAGTACTAATAAACACAGATTCAAAAACCAAAACCAAAACCAAAAACGAAACACTACAATGCTAAAACTACTTCTGTTCACCTTCTACATGGAATGATCATAATTTCTACTGCAATATTTTCGTAAATGTATAAGGTTGTAGAAACTATCAAGGTAGAGTATAAAATATAAAGTTATAAACATACGAACCATAAACTTGGTCAACAGTCGTGTCATTACTGTCAAGGAATACCAGGTGACTTGTGTTTGAGACACATGACCTTGAGTGCTTCTTCACAGTTCTTTATATATTCTGCATCTATATTGTCACTGCATGGGGTAACGGTATCCATTTAAATCCATCTCAAGTTTATCAACAATAGGTTGAATGCTTGAGGAATGGTTCTGTCTGCTATTCTTGCACGACACAATTGTACAACCATATGCTTCGGTTACATCAACACCATGTCGTAAACTTGTACAAACAAACATCTCAGATGCACGTGCGGATTGTGTTTTACCCGTGCAAGTCGTGAACCACGCACCTGCATCGAGAGAGACTGACACGGAGTGAGTACATATACAGTTTTTACTGGTCATTAATACATAAATCGAGTACATTTGTCAACTAAGTTGTTTCTCTAAATGACCTTAAACAGTTGTTGTTTTCATTAGTGTCAAGTATTTCATTTCATATTATTGACTAATAAACACAAATAGTCAATTTGTGATTAATTTCCCGACTTGATCTTCACTTTGGACTGACTGACTGAGTTTGGTTTTACGCCGCTTTTAGCACTATTCCAGCAACATCACGACGGGGGACACCAGAAATGGGCTTCACACATTGTACCCATGTGGGGATTCGAACCCGGGTCTTCAGCGTGACGAGCCAACGCTTTAACCATTAGGCTACCCCATCGCCCCCTTCACTTTGGAAACCACCCGATACTGAAAGTATCGACTTCCATTAAAACAGTATTTCGCTCTGGTGAATTATTGATAATATATATTTTCCGGTTAATATTTCACATTTCGCCACTAACACTTACATCCGCGACAAAAGTCAGTTGTTTTCCTCAGTCTAACCGTCCAATGTGAATTCACCAGAGCTATAGTAGCCACCAATATCTTATCATCTTGTGGTCAGGTTATAGTTGACAAGTCCGGACCGACAAGTACCGACAAGTCCATGCATGATCTATTGTCCTATATCAAGCCAAGAATTCTCAAGCTATGAAACAATGGGTGCTTGTGTACTTAAATTGCTTGTAATGGTGGGATCCGCTCTCAACATAAGCATTGTGTTACCAAAATGTGGACCGAAAGATGACATTGTTTTAACTCCAAGATTCGAATTTCTTCTTTGTATATTATATTTATTGTTAATTTTATAGTTTCTCTTATATATGATTATTTACAGAACGCTGCCATATAGTTTGAATATTGCTGAGTGCGGAGTAAAACTAAACTCACTCATCGATCCCGTTAGTTGCCTTTTAAGACAAGCATGGGTTACTGAAGATCAATTCTAACCCGGGTCTTCATGGGTTTTGTCTTTCGGGTTTGGTTACCATGTGAACCGAAACATATAGTTTTAACAACAAAATTAGGCATTTCTATATAATATGAATTATTCAATAGAATGGTTGGTCCTAAACGGTATAAGGAATAGTGTAGATTCACGATTTCACATCAGCAGATCGACTGATCTTGCAGACAACACTGTCTGATGTCATACGGTCTTAGTTTGATCCAGCGAATCGTGCGTACGACTTACCATATATTTAATGCCATGTAGGCGAATAACAGTTATATTTCATGCCTTGGAGTCATTGTATTGACTCCTGTATAAAAGACTTCAGAAATTTGGCACGATCCAGACCCAGTCGTGTTATATTTAACGTTGAATAAATTATACATTCTAAACAAGCTTGTACATTAAAACAACAATAAGTGAGGTAGATATTACTGATACATATATACATAAATGTTATTTATTTATTTATTTTATTTTATTTTATTTATTTATTTATTTGTTTGTTTGTTTGTTTGTTTGTTTGTTTGTTTATGTGCGTCTGTGTGTCTGTGTTATGAAGTTGATGTAAGTCATAAATTAACACCAGCTAATACGAAAAAGTCTGGAAAAGTCTAAAAGGCAAATTATTCTTTACATTTTTCTAATTCATGAGGTGATGTGAAATGAAATCGGTTAATTTCTTATTATTATTTCAGGTATATTGAACAATTTCAGGTGGAGCTCTTTCTTTGGTTACGAGTCAATACGTGAAGCGGCCTCGCATTCCAATCTCAAGTGGTATCGCCCGAAACGGGGGTGTTTGGTGGCAAACCGTCAATGACTAACAAACTCCAGATTCAGTAATAACAAATCACGTTTGGTTTTTTCAATGCATCAATCACCAATCATTAACTGATAAGTTGGAAAACATATATCAAATAAGTTTCAAAAGCTTGGTTCACATTTGAAAATTCCACCGTAGACCCTTTCCCCACTAGAATAGTGGCAGCAACCTCATGGCCTTGACCTTTTCTCGAAGTCATTGTTTACATTTGGAAAGATGCGACAGGAGAGCCACTGACAGTTTGCGCAAGGTTAACCTGATTGTATGACTGAGATAGTCTTTGATATCTAATTACTGGTACTGGTACAAAATTTAAGAGTAGGGGCGCTTTGCTGTAACGAGAAGTCCGTGTTGTACCGAATTTAGATACTGTTGAATTTTGCGCCCTGTCAACTTGACGATTTCACGCACCTCTACGTCTGCGTGCGACAGCTGTGTGACTCTTACACTAACTCATGTGTGTACTTTGTGCTCCAAATCTCGATTCTACGGATATTATTTTCTACATTTTGGAAAGTGTTTTTGTGACCTAGTGGCTTCAAAGTGTAGTGAATTCAAATTGAATCGGATTGGCTGGCATGTTCGCGAGTCTGTTGACAAAGAGCCAGATTTGTGGTGATATTTCCGAAAGGATGGATCAGGACACGAGGGTGTACCTCTGGCATAAACACGGTAAGGTAATTAATTATACTTTAATAGACTACTTTAGATCAAGCAGTGTAATGGATAAGAGGGATCATGACTAAGCTAAATAACTTGTTCAACGATATTATACATTTAGAAAAAAAAATATGTTGGGCTAAACAGAACGGTTTGGCAGATTCTGTAGATCTAATTGTGTTTTACTACCGCTAAATTTGGAAACAGTACAAATTTCAAAATATCATTTTGTTTGAATTGATAACCTAACTGTTTATTTATGTGGACGGAAGGCATTAGAATCTAAAATTTCTTCGGCGTTCGATGTTAATGCATCCTCCGTTACCGGATCAAGATCAGTGGCGATATCGTTGACGAAAGCTGATAATAAATTTAACACGGAAATTTTGTAGCAGTCAATTGCTGGATCTATTCTGACATAACATAGAATCAACGTAAACATATTTGTTTTGCTGAATTTTTTTTATTCGGAAAGCAGACGATGCTTTGATCTTGTTCGACTGAATATTTGTTTCCATGCTTTCGAAGTACTTTTGTATGTATAAACACCTATTGCAGTGATTTACGCAAGTAGTGAGTCGTGCCCGTCATCGCTAAATCCATCTTTAAAGACATATGTGTAATTTCCGACAGTTAAATCGCTGTAATTTATCGATGCATCGGTAGGTTGTTCGGTGTCCGCCATGTTAGTGGGCAGACAAAAATAGTGCATTACCGTAAACCATGTATGATTGCGCACGGAAAACAGAGACTTGTATAACGTGATTATATACCTCTGAATGACTTTAATTAACCAATCACAATCCAGTGTTTACTGAAGTCATGGTAGAATGCGACTTATACCGGTATTAGGATATACTGCTGGCCCCTGGTATACCATGTATGTCACAGTTAAACATTGTACACTCACTCGGACACGGTACACTTATTCCAGCTGGTCTGTTCTTGTTTCTCCCATTAGGCCGAGACACAGACAGGTATCAGCTAGTGTGGTGCAGCCAGCTAGTAGATAGGTATATTGGTTGGTTGTTTAACGCCACACTCTGCAATATTCCAGCTATATGGCGGCGGTCTGTAAATAATCGAGTCAGGACCAGACAATCCAGTGATCATCGGCATGAACATCGATCCAAGTCAGCTAGCCTGACCATCCGATCCCGTTAGTTGCCTTTACGACAAGCATGGGTTGCTGAAGATCAATTCTAACCCGGATCTTCACGACTGACTGACTGAGTTAAACAACAAACTAACCAAACGCTCATGATTACAGGTACACCATATTTCACTAGACACGTGTAATACCCTCTATTTGCCGTTTCAGCAACAACGGTCTCAAGTATCACCAGAAGAACACCAAATGCGAGGAATCCTCTGAGTTCCCCACCAGTGAGACTGATGACCAAGATGAACATGGTAAAGTTTTGTCAGTTTTCACATGTACTTGTCCTGCCATTGTATGTATGAGTTCGTTGTTTAAAAGCATTTCAGCACGACGCGGGACACCGGAAATGGGCTTTACACATTGTGCCTTTGTGGGGAATCGAACTCGGCCTTTCGAGTGAACTAGACTACCCCTCCGCCCGCCATTGTACAGTTGACTGTGTTTATAACGAACACGCTTATATCGACTGACTGACTGAGTTTTGGTGCTACGCCGCTTTTAGCAATATTCCAGCAACATCACGGCGGGGGACACCAGAAATGGGCTTCACACATTGTACCCATGTGGGGATTCGAGCCCGGGTCTTCGGCGTGACGAGCCAACGCTTTAACCATTAGGCTACCCCACCGCCCGGATCTTCACGAATAATATAGATAGATAGATACGTAACATATGTTATGTGTATCCGGAAGTTTGAGATGTAGCAAACCAGTGTAGGTCGGGCAGGAACTGATTTCATATCTTCTTACCTACTTGTCTCATACGACGACTTGTTGACTTGGGTGTCACCGTATTCCAGTCGATGCCCGCGCGGCGACGTCACTATGCATGGAGTTTTCAAGGTTAGTGTATCAATGTTATTAATGCCTACACGTACAGCCTGGTTTGGTATTTACACATATGGAATTCAAATAACCCATGTTAAATCTGCCTGTACGTGGTACAAAGCTTTGATTTAAATATTTGCTGTTTGTTCTAAACTGGGAAATATCCCACAGATATCTTTTAAGACGTTTTGATTCTTAAATACAACCAATTTTATGTAATGGTGCAGAAGTATGGGGATTCCAAAAATACGACTGTTTAGAACAAAATTAATCGTTTGGCATGTAAAGAAAGCCTTGGGGTGGGGCCTTTACACCGAATTCTATGCTTTATGGTGAATGTAATAGAAATCCACTACATACAGCTTCAGTTGTTTTAGATATGCATGAACAGCGTCTACAAATAACCTACAATATGCTCTTACACTTAGACAATGTAGGTAAAATACCATGGGCTTCACACTTCACACATTCAAAACCTTTTATTTTCATGCGGTTATGGCATTGTATGGTTGCCAAAGAGCAGTTAGAAATGTAATTGGCATTCATATTTAAACGAAAGTACACGACATGAATCGTACAGATCGTTTAAAAGTCTTCTTGGCCTTTTCGTACTGACGTGTGTAAAGTTACGTGACTTAGTTGTCGGATTTGTCAGAATTAATGATCAATGAAGGTAGAAAAATAGGGAATGATAACAATGAAAAGATTTGTATGTTATGTAAATGAGGAATAGAGAATGAAATCCACTTTGTCTTTGCACGTCCTACTGTTAATAACCGGGGAATGTTGTATGTACTGTCAGTCTTACAATCACTATATTTAGCCCAAAATTATTGTGATCATATTTCAATAAAAGTTGGTATCTACATCAATGTACATTAAGACTGTTGTTGCGTACTGTCAGTCTTGTGGGGTGCCACAATCACCATATTTAGTCCGGAAATTTACTGCAAGATCATATTTGAATAATAAGCTGAGTATTTACGCTCTTCCAGGACGCTGAATGTACGCAGGACATCAAGTGCTGGATGACAGGAAACATGCTTAAACTTAATGACACAAAAAGCAGAAGCAGTTCTCATTGGTACAAAGCAACAACTCAGCAAGGTCAAAACCGACACCCTTACAGTCGCAGACTCTGACGTCAGTTTCTCTGATGTGGTTAAGGACTTGGGTGTCCACATCGACTCTTCCTTGACTCTGGATGCTCATGTTAACCATCTGAGCAGGACCTGCTACTTTCACCTAAGATCCATTGGTAACATTCGGCAATACCTGACAACTGCTGCAACTAAAGCCCTTGTTCGAGCTCTTGTTACATCTAGGCTTGATTACTGTAACAGCATCCTTTCAGGCCTCAGTTCTAAACTCCTTGATAAGCTTCAGAAGATCCAAAATACTTCCGCCCGCATCATCAGCAAGACTTCTAAACGTTCCCATATAACACCAGTGTTGGAAAGAACTGCATTGGCTATCAGTTAGGGCCAGAATTGACTTTAAGATCCTCTGTCTGACATAAGTGCCTCCATGGTTTGGCTCCCTCCTACTTGTCTGAACTCCTACATCCGTATGTCCCCGCACGCAACTTGCGCTCAAACACACAAAACCGACTGGTCATCCCATCCTACAAACTGAAATCCTTCGGACACCGATCATTCTCTTACTCCGCGCCTGTGCTTTGGAACTCTCTCCCATGTGCCCTTAAAAGCTCTGCCACAATTGACATTTTTAAGTCCAGACTTAAAACCCACCTTTTCTCAGTATATTATGTATAACTTCATCTGTAAATACTCCAGTGTAAATATTCTGTAGCGCTTTGAGCATGCCTTAGGGTGTGGAAGGGGCGCATTATAAATATGCATTTATTATTATTATTACTGTCAGTCTTACAATCACTATATTTAGTCCAAAATTATTGTGATCATATTTCAACAATAAGTTGAGTATTTACATCAATGTATGTACTGTCAGTCTTACAATCACTATATTTAGTCCAAAATTATTGTGATCATATTTCAATAATAAGTTGAGTATTTACATCAATGTATGTACTGTCAGTCTTACAATCACTATATTTAGTCCAAAATTATTGTGATCATATTTCAATAATAAGTTGAGTATTTACATCAATGTATGTACTGTCAGTCTTTACAATCACTATATTTAGTCCAAAATTACTGTGATCATATTTCAATAATAAGTTGGTATCGACATCAATGTATGTACTGACAGTCTTACAATCACTATATTTAGTCACTATATTTTTAACCACGAGGCTACCCCCACACACCACCACCACCCCGCTGATGTTACATACTTTATTGTGGACAAATTCGACGATCTGAACAAAGACATGGTTATCGTTGATGCATCAAAAATGTATCCAATGCGGTTTAATCGTGAAACAGGATACTGTACGGTCGTTGTTGGACCAAGATGGTGTTGAATTTCGCTCAGGACACTGTCTTCATCGACGTGTTTATTCTTCAACTTCCTGTGTTGTTAAAACATGTTAAATAAACTACAACACACATACGTATACATAAGGGATTGAAACGGAGGAAGTAAAACGGGGAACACGGTATTTTAGTAAGAAATAAAGTCGGTATATGTGCTATACGTGGTGCACATACTAATGGATCAAATAAATCAGGCGGGTTTTAAATGATATTATACAGAGTTAAACTGCCATTGTACCCACGTTAGGAAACATTACTGATACATGCAAACCAAGACTACAGACTATAGTTCCCTGAGCGTGGTCGACTTTACTTCCAATACATCAGACATTAGTTTTATAAATAAGATAATTAAGTATAACACTCAATGTTTACATTTGTCATGGTTATGTAATATTTTATATACATAATAAAGCCGTAGCACAAAACAAGTTATCCAAGCTTTACGCTAGTGTTCATAATACTATGTACCAATATAAGATGTAAGTAAAACCACTATTCATCCCTGCATAAACTCCTACTCATGTTTATGGTTTAATTCTTATTATGACATTACACATACCTAGGCCAGCTTTATGTAATAAAGCAAAAAGTGGTAAAATCAGATACAAAGAATAGTATTGACAAGCATAAAGACAATGAACGTTTACAGAAACATTATCAATGTTCATGATAAATTTGCATACTTTTACATAGTCTCATCATAAACACCTATATGTAGTTAACTCCGACTTTGCATCGTTTGAAATCTTCCAAAAAGGATATAAGTTTGTACATTTTAGCCAGCAGTCAAGCAAATGTGCGTTCCATTAATGCCATTAGATGCTAAACACGAAGTTGGGCGCTCAAGATATTAACGTGTGCGCACAAGATACTAACTTGTGCGTTCAAGATATTAACTTGTGCGCTCAACATACTAACTTGTGCGCTCAAGATATTAACTTGAGCGCTCAAGATACTAGCTTGTGCGCTCAAGATACTAACTTGTGCGCTCAAGATAACTAACTTGAGCGCTCAAGATATTTTTTATTTCATGAGGTCCCTTCAGCGCTTCCGTAGTAACGAGCTCTTCGTACGTTCTGGAAGTTTACTTTTAGACAAATTGGCTATTTCGTCGTCCGTCTTCGGTGTAGTAAATCGTTACCTTGGTACAGAATTGTTCGACGTGCTTGACGAAACATTGAAATAGTCACTTGTATCCATATTTATCAAATCTGAAGACACTTCATCATCGCTAATATCACAGCAATGTGGTAACTGATTTACCTTGTTCTGCGACAGTTCCATTGCGTCATAGCTACTACTAATCAGCTCATCGTCACATGAATTAAACTCATTTTGTGAAGCGAAAACGCTTTTGGATGAGGGAATTAGTTCGTCCGACTCGGTATCCCCCCAAATGCCTCTATTCCTTATACACATTCAGCTGTCATAGGAATCAACAAAATAGTTCCAAACGTTTTATTAAATGTATCCGTAAATATATGATTCTAATGAAAGATTGATTCTTGATTTGCATATGCAATGCTTTAAATAGGTTAAAGCACTCGGACTTTGGTCTCTAATGGTTGACATTGTTAGTTAGAGCACGATGAGCGAAGCGAAGAGTGCTCTAACTAACAATGTCAACCATTAGAGACCAAGTCCTCGTGCTCTAACCTATACGTATGTACTGTCGGTCTTACAATCACTATATTTAGTCCAAAATTATTGTGATCATATTTCAATAATAAGTTGGTATCTACATCAATGTATGTACTGTCGGTCTTACAATCACTATATTTAGTCCAAAATTATTGTGATCATATTTCAATAATAAGTTGAGTATTTACATCAATGTATGTACTGTCAGTCTTACAATCACTATATTTAGTCCAAAATTACTGTGATCATATTTCAATAATAAGTTGGTATCGACATCAATGTATGTACTGACAGTCTTACAATCACTATATTTAGTCACTATATTTTAACCACGAGGCTACCCCCACACACACCACCACCACCCCGCTGATGTTACATACTTTATTGTGGACAAATTCGACGATCTGAACAAAGACATGGTTATCGTTGATGCATCAAAAATGTATCCAATGCGGTTTAATCGTGAAACAGGATACTGTACGGTCGTTGTTGGACCAAGATGGTGTTGAATTTCGCTCAGGACACTGTCTTCATCGACGTGTTTATTCTTCAACTTCCTGTGTTGTTAAAACATGTTAAATAAACTACAACACACATACGTATACATAAGGGATTGAAACGGAGGAAGTAAAACGGGGAACACGGTATTTTAGTAAGAAATAAAGTCGGTATATGTGCTATACGTGGTGCACATACTAATGGATCAAATAAATCAGGCGGGTTTTAAATGATATTATACAGAGTTAAACTGCCATTGTACCCACGTTAGGAAACATTACTGATACATGCAAACCAAGACTACAGACTATAGTTCCCTGAGCGTGGTCGACTTTACTTCCAATACATCAGACATTAGTTTTATAAATAAGATAATTAAGTATAACACTCAATGTTTACATTTTTCATGGTTATGTAATATTTTATATACATAATAAAGCCGTAGCACAAAACAAGTTATCCAAGCTTTACGCTAGTGTTCATAATACTATGTACCAATATAAGATGTAAGTAAAACCACTATTCATCCCTGCATAAACTCCTACTCATGTTTATGGTTTAATTCTTATTATGACATTACACATACCTAGGCCAGCTTTATGTAATAAAGCAAAAAGTGGTAAAATCAGATACAAAGAATAGTATTGACAAGCATAAAGACAATGAACGTTTACAGAAACATTATCAATGTTCATGATAAATTTGCATACTTTTACATAGTCTCATCATAAACACCTATATGTAGTTAACTCCGACTTTGCATCGTTTGAAATCTTCCAAAAAGGATATAAGTTTGTACATTTTAGCCAGCAGTCAAGCAAATGTGCGTTCCATTAATGCCATTAGATGCTAAAGATACGAACTTGGCGCGCTCAAGATATTAACTTGTGCGCTCAAGATATTAACTTATTGCGCTCAAGATATTATACTCAAGATCTAACTTGTGCGCTCAAGATATTAACTTGAGCGCTCAAGATACTAGCTTGTGCGCTCAAGATACTAACTTGTGCGCTCAAGATAACTAACTTGAGCGCTCAAGATATTAACTTGTGCGCTCAAGATATTTTTTATTTCATGAGGTCCCTTCAGCGCTTCCGTAGTAACGAGCTCTTCGTTCGTTCTGGAAGTTTACTTTTAGACAAATTGGCTATTTCGTCGTCCGTCTTCGGTGTAGTAAATCGTTCCCTTGGTACAGAATTGTTCGACGTGCTTGACGAAACATTGAAATAGTCACTTGTATCCATATTTATCAAATCTGAAGACACTTCATCATCGCTAATATCCCTGCAATGTGGTAACTGATTTACCTTGTTCTGCGACAGTTCCATTGCGTCATAGCTACTACTAATCAGTTCATCGTCACTTGAATTAAACTCATTTTGTGAAGCGAAAACGCTTTGGGATGAGGTAATTAGTTCGTCCGACTCGGTATCCCCCCAAATGCCTCTATTCCTTATACACATTCAGCTGTCATAGGAATCAACAAAATAGTTCCAAACGTTTTATTAAATGTATCCGTAAATATATGATTCTAATGAAAGATTGATTCTTGATTTGCATATGCAATGCTTTAAATAGGTTAAAGCACTCGGACTTTGGTCTCTAATGGTTGACATTGTTAGTTAGAGCACGATGAGCGAAGCGAAGAGTGCTCTAACTAACAATGTCAACCATTAGAGACCAAGTCCTCGTGCTCTAACCTATACGTACAATCACTGTCGGTCTTACAATCACTATATTATGTAC